GTACATCTACATGTCCTGTCCCCACTGTCCTCAGAGGAGTTTTTGTCCTGAAATTTGTCACCAGGAGCACAAGTTCATTAGCGGTAGTTCCCTGTTTTACTGGATCAGCGGTAAATAGTTGTTGGTGCATTGTGGTACATGACCAACCTCATTTCTGATTCCTGAGAATTTTTTTGTCTTGGCAGGAGGCAGTTCTTCCTGTGTGCACAGTAGGCTGAAAGTGCAGAATCCTCTTCCCCAGAAGCCCTCAACCAATGATTGTTGGGATAATAAACAACCTGGCACCCTTGTCTTCAGAAGAGATAACTAGGATGCTCGTGTTCTACTGTCTCCTAGAATTCCCCAGCAGGACTGACTCAGAGTGGTGACTTATTTTTACAACAATTCTTTCCCTTCTCTGTCCCACTTCCCCACTTCCCTACCAGAACTTCCTGGGATCTCCTCTCAAATAAACTACACACAGAATCTGCTTCTGATAAAATGCAAACTTAGAAAGGAAAGTGGTGTTACTGGGTGGATGGAGCACCTACTCTACACATGTCCCTAGAATGTGCTGAACTAGAGTCAAGCTAAACAGAATCACTGGTGATCATTTGTAAGAAAGCACTTTGTAAAAATGTCAGCTTTTCTGTATTCACTTTTTTTGAGGGAACACATTTAGAATAGTGGCACAACACTGGTCTTAGGGTAGAAGACCAAATCAAATGTAATTCATGGGAAATCACCTAATTTCTTCAAGTTTCTCCATTCCCTGGTCTGTCAAATGAACATAATACCCATTTCTTAGGGTTTTTGAGAGAATTGATTGAAATAACATTGAAAATGGTTGACACTTTATTTTCATTGTAATGTTTACAAAACCTTGATTTATGCTCATGAATTACATATAAATAGGACTTTAACACCTTCTAAGCCAATGAAATTAACTATTGAAATAAGACTGCCCAGAAATGATTTTTAAGTTGTAACTAGATGATTATTATTTCCTAGAAACACACAGCTCTTGAGTTTTGGGTATATTCTTACAAATTACAGTTTAAAGAATAAAGAAATAAATGATATACCAACCATTCAAAAATCACTAAAATCATGTTTAAAGATAAAATCTAGCCCACAGAAACAAAAAGAATATACTTGCAGCTCAGGCTTCCTGTGAAAGTCTGAATAATATGTCCCCACCCTGTAGTGGTACACGTCCTAATCCCTGGAACCTCTGAATGTTATCTTATACACCAAAAGGGACTTTCCAAATGTGATCAAGTGAAGGATCTTGCAATGAGAAGGTTATCCTGGATTATCTGAATGAGCCTGATATAATCACAAGGGTTCTTCTTAGGAGGAGGAAAACAAGGAAGAATCAGAGAGAAGGCAAGGTGACAAAGGAAAAAGAGATTGGAGTGATGCAGCCATAAGCTGAGGATTGTTGGCAGCCTCTAGAAGCTGGAAGAAACAAGAAATGGATCCTACCCTGGAGCCACCAGAAGAAACTAGTCCTACTGATGCCTTAATCTCAGCCCCATAAGATTCATTATGAACTTCTGACCTTCAGAACTGCAAGACAATAAACTTCTGTTGTTTTAAGCCATGGAATTTGTGGCCAATTTTCACAGTGGCACTTTGCTACCAGGGCTTTGAGGAGAATCAATTCTCCACATAGCATGCAGTCTCTGTAAGGAAAGTCTCTCAGCAGGAACCTAGTCATTCCCTCCTTTCTCACATTATTTTTACTTGAATTCAATAGAGAAAAAATATAAAACAGAAATATGTTGTAAATAATGAGTTGCTCCAAATGTTAATCTCCAGAATAGCAAAGTTAATAATATATTTATCTAATGTGCCCAAGGTAAAAAGATCAGTGTTAGGACCTAGAATAATAAATAAATGTTCTAGGCCAGCACTGTCCAAGAGAAATAAATAGCCATATATATGCCATTTAAAATTTACTAGTAGCCACGTTTTTAATGTGAAAGAAACAGAAGCAATTGATTTTAATAATAATTTTATCTAATGCAGTATATCCATATTACAATTTCAACATGTAATCAATATCAAATGATTAGTGAGATATTTCCTGTTCTTTTTTTCCTACTACTTCTTGAAAATTCAATGTGTATTTTATACTTTTTACAGCACATCTCAGCTAGGACTTGTCACATTTCAGGTACTCAATTGCTACTTGGGGTTCCTGGTTACCATCTTTGCTTTAATGGACAGAGCAGATCTAGGGTATCTAAATAGTTCTAATACCCAAAGGACATAAAAAATATAAGGCAAGCCAAATTCTGAAGCTTAAGAGCAGGTACATGCATGCAGCTAATGATTTATTCATTTCATGAGTGTTCATTGTCTACTATGCACTAAGTACTATTTAAAAGGCACATAATTTTCTAGGTTATAAAATCATAGTGTAGTGTTTCAATTAAAAACAACTGTTGCGTGTGGCGATTCCTTAAGGACCTAGACATAGAAATTCCATTTGACCCAGAAATCCCATTACTGGGTATATATCCAAAGGATTATAAATCTTTCTACTATAAGGACACATGCACACGAATGTTCATTGCAGCACTGTTTACAATAGCAAAGACCTGGAACCAACCCAAATGCCCATCGATGATAGACTGGACAGGGAAAATGTGGCACATATACACCATGGAATATTATGCAGCCATAAAAAACGATGAGTTTGTGTCCTTTGTAGGGACATGGATGAACCTGGAAACCATCATTCTCAGCAAACTGACACAAGAGCAGAAAATCAAACACCACATGTTCTCATTCATAGGTGGGTGTTGAACAATGAGAACACGTGGACACAGGGAGGGGAGCACTACACACTGGGGTCAGTTGGGGGGAAATAGCGGAGGGGCGGTGGGGGGTGGGGAGTTGGGGAGAGATAGCATGGGGAGAAATGCCAGATGTAGGTGATGGGGAGGAAGGCAGCAAATCACACTGCCACGTGTGTACCTATGCAAAAATCTTGCATGTTCTTCACATGTACCCCAAAACCTAAAATGCAATAAAAAAAAGAAAAGAAAAAAAAAAAAACAACTGTTGCTTATATTGGAAATCTCTATACAGCAGCCAGTTTTTCCTATAAATAGTGAAACCCCAGGAAATAACCAGTAGACACATTTTTCTGCAATGGGTGCCTTTCCTTCTCTGTAACAGTGTCTTATCCATAATGTGGAGCCTAGAGCTGATTAAACATGGGTCCTGGACATTCCTGAAGAGCTGACCACTTGACATTTCCAAGCATGTTGAGCAAATAATAAACACACCAGCTCGTAAACTTGATAATCGTTTAAAGAAGCCATTGTTCACATCTTGAAAACTGCAGAACTGCAGAATCCTGACATGGATTCTCCAGTTTAATATTCTTTGGTTTATCCGGGGGCTTTTTGGCTTTTAATTTAATTTGGTGGCACTTTGAAAGTGAAGCTCCTGGAGGTCAGTTTGCCAGCCACTAAAGAACTATTAATCTCATCTCCAAATAGCATTTGGTCTTTTTGAAGTGGGCTTTCCAGCAATGCAAGAACCTCTAGCATTCAAGGAAAATGTGATTATGAGCAAATTGCATCTGCTTACATCTTCATCATGAAAAGGAAATTGAAACTTGCCATCATACATTTTAAGAATCTGGTTTGAGGTTTACTCTGTTTGAACTTCAAAATCTCTTAATACCATGGCTAATTCTAATGAAAGATTTTTTTTCCTGTAAGTCAAACAAATATAGGCGAACCTTCAAGAAGCCTGTACCAAACCAAAGCTCTTATCCTACTCTCCCCCAGAGTCATCACTGAAACATTTCTTTAGTTCAGCAGTCTCAGCTGGGAGCAATTGTGCCCTCCAGGGACCTCGGGCAAGATCCCAAACCTTTTTGTATTGCCACAATTGGTGGTGGGTGGAGTCAAGGTTGCTACTAGTATCTAGTGGGTAGAGACCACAGGTGCTGCTAAGCATCCTACAATCCCAGGGCAGCACATCACCCCAACAAATAATTATCCAGCCCAGCCCAAAAGGTCAATAATGCTGTGGTAGAAAAAGCATACTCTGGTGGACACCTAAGTAGAAAGCAAGACATCACAGTCAGAGAACCAGAAATCCTTTTCCGTTGGGTGTTTTCGAAAAGACTGCCCTAGTGCCCTGGTGAAGAACAAAGACTTTGGGCCAGAATACCTAGGCTTGCACCCTGGCTCCAACGCTTACTGGATACGCTTCCTCAGGCAAATCACGCCACCTCTGTGCCTCGTTTTTCTCTTCTACAACACGGAGATGATGATAATAGTACCTTACACGCAGAGCCATTATGGGCTTTGGGTAATAGTCCTAAAGTGCTTAGAACAGTGCCAGGCCGACAGTAAGCACGATGTAAGCGTGCATTTACTAAGCAGCTTTGTCAGTCTCTGGAAAAAATGTTTCAGGTCTCAGCTGAGCTTACGGGCAGTAGGGGACAGCTTTAGAGTCTGCATTGCCATAACAAGAATGAGAATGTTTGTCATCTGACAACCACGTCCTTTCTTTCCAGTTCATCAACACTAATCAGAGAGCAGTGAGGAGAGCAGTCCGGCTGGCTCAGTAAATGCTTTATCGTCCTCGGTTTCTTTCCCTCCTTCCGCAGCAAAACTAGCGACTGACAGACACAGAACCCACCCACCAGAACGCATACCGACCCTCACACACCTGCCCCTGCAACAGGTCTGCAGACCACCAAGCTCGCACGCACCGACGGGTCTGCGCACAGAGCCTCCTCCGGCAACCCTCCGGACGCAGCCAGGTGGGGCACAGCTGATGCAAAAGGAGCTAACTAGGAGCAAATCCCCGCCACAGGTGAGCAGGGAGGAGAACCCGTGAACGTATCCAGGTTAAATCCCGTCTCAGTGCGCACAGGCACACGTGCACACTCACGCCCATACACGCGGGGGTGCCTGCAAAGAGAAGGGGCCCCAAAGCGGCAACTCAGGCCGGGGGTGGGGGAAAGCCAATCACCAGTCACTTACCTGGCCGGGTTGCCGAAACCACCTGCCAACCAGGCGAGCAGCAGCGGTAGCGCAAGACCCCAGAGCAGACGCATCTTCGCGCGGGTCCTCCCTCCTCCTCCTGCGCCCCCTCGGGAGGGCGCCGGCCAGACCCTGTCGCAGCTGAGCGGCCGCCTCCTCCCTCCTCAGGCCGCTCGGGGTCTCAGCTCCACTCGCAGTTACCAGGTTTTGTTCCTGCAGGCTGAGAGGGGAGGCCGGGCACCGCGGCGGGGACGCTCGCGGCCTCGGGAGGGGCTGGGGGCGCCCTGGCAAGCCTGGTCGAGACTCCCCTGCGGATGAAGCTGGACGGGGTGAGCGAGGGAGGGCGGAGGGGGCGGTGCACATCTGGCTGGGACCCGCCTCCAGCACGACCCGCGCATCCTCCACGCTCTCTGTTCACCCAGAAACTTCCCCCAGATTCAGGTCACTTCACACTTGTCAGAGTCACCATCTACCGCCATCTATTTCAGGCATGGGCCAGAGTTCAGTGATACCTGCACTCCAGTACTTAAGAATTTAGTTGAGAAGTCGAAGCAGGTTGGAAGGATACAGGTTCCTAAGACATGCTTCCTCGCTTCTCTTTAGGTTTTCACGTTCTCCAGTTTTTCTTGGACAAACTGCAAATCATGGGATGCTACAGCAGGAAGGTCACTACGTCCTGGGCAACTGTCATTTGGCAAGTAATCTCTCAGGCCCACTTGCAACAGCTTACGTGGGACCTCAGATGATATCCCAATATAGTAATCAGTGCAGAAATTCATGGCAGAAACGTGAATGCTATATGAATTCAGAATCATTTGGGTACTGACACATTCTTTGTTCCAACAACGTGTTACAGTAGAATGAATGACTGGTCCCTTTCTGTCCTCCTTCCTACGTCCACACTCTTTGACTTCATGGTGTACAGAGCCTATGACCCCACACGTTGGCGTTGGACCAGGCTGTATGACTTGTTTGATCAATGGCTTAAGGGCGGGAAAGTTGCCGTGTGCCAGTTCCAAGCCTAGGTCTTAACACACATGACCCTCCATTATGAACATGAGAAGACCTTGTATCACCTAGCCTGGTGGTCCAGGGAGAATGAGAAACAGGTGAAAAAGCGACCTCATCAACCTGCAGACCTATAGCTTGAAGCAGAACTACTCGATGAAGCTCCATGTATATTAGCCAATCCACACGTATATGAATGAACTCAGCTAAGGTTGCCACGGCACCAGCCAATCTACTGAGGCTTATTGTGGTAGTCCTCTGACACACAGTGACCTGGTGTGAGAAATGAAATGAAAAAGGATACAGAAAAAGAGGACGTTTGTTTTGATTAGAAACTTGATTCATCGTTTTATAGGCACATGCCTTAATGCTGGCCAATGAAATGTGAAAAGTAGGGAGGGGGAAGATTCTTGCTGCAGAATCCTGTTTTACATTGTAATAGATGTTCTTATTGGTGCAAGCTATGTTTAGTTGGGTTTTCTGTTTTACAGTTGAAGGTATCTCCATGGATTCAGTGTCCTTGGTCAGTAACTACTTAGACCATTGAGCTGCTCATAACTAACAGTGTCAGATATTATCTTAATCATTTAACATGTGTTATCTGAGTGAACATCCACAAGCCTATGGATAGAGACAGTTTCCCGTGTTTGAAGTGTCAAGAAACTGAGTCAGAGAGGTTAAGCAGCTAACAAGTATAGATTCAAAACTAGAAACCAGGGCTTTTCTCCATTGGGACCTAGTGCTCTTATATCAATCTCTTTTCTCATCTTCTCACTTTTTGGCAGATTCATATGTCAGATGAGTATCATGAATAAGGTAATAAGATGATCTCTTCAAGGCTGTCATCAAAACACTTTGAACTCTCCATACCATAACTTGTTTTATTTACTGAAAATATTAAAACTAAAAGAAAATAATATGAGGTATGAACTCTATACCTGTGAGGATATTAAATAAAATGGAATATAAAATTTGTCTTGGTATGAGTTTGCCCACAGGCAGACCCTGAGGCGAGGATTCAAGTGAAAGTAGTTTATTCTTGAGGTACAGAGAACATGGGTAGTGAGTGAATAAATGAAGAAAAGAAGACAGTATCAGGTATATATTAAGTTATCATTGTGTGAAACTGGAGGTTCATGCTGCTGGGGATCTCCCACAGCCAGCATTGAATATGCATCTCCAAATGATTTTACCTAAAAGGCAAGGGAACTGGGGTATTTATACACTACTTCCATTCACTCATTGCGGTGAAAGCTTCTACTATGGTACTAATCCAAGGACTCAGTCTTCTGTCTGAGGGCCAAAGAAAGCCCTAAAACAAATGACTAGAGATACTGACTGTCGAAGGTCCTACTGAAATAGAAGGCCTGAGGGGATATGTATGGTAGCACGACATTAGCAGCTACCTAATATCTGGAAATAAAATTGAATTAAAAATTATGGAGTTTTGCCCATGCCACTGCTTCCTAAACATGAAGATAGTAATCACTCCCTCCTCCAAATACACCATTACTCAAAAAAGTGCTAACAAAACATGATTAGTCTAAAATGTGAGGGCTGTCTGCCTTCTTAGCCCTGAGTTATAAAGTCAGACTAACATCTTGCATTGAAATTATCTGTAACATTCTAGCTTTAGTTTCAGCATTTTGACGCTTTCTGCTTTTTGTTTGTCAGAGCTGAATTCTCTTCTAGAGGCTAAAAGGAGGTAGTGAACATCACAACAGCAAAGTTTGGGGGAGGTCAAACACTCCCCAACCAACCCACCTATTATTTCCTAGGGGAGCTGTGAACAAAAGAGCTGTCATGTAGCTTGAGCAACAGAGAAAGAATAAGAAAATGATGTGTTGCCAGGTGAGAAGACCTTGGATATAAATTGCCACAGGGAGGCAGGTGTTTTTAATAACTTCACTGGTGTTGCTGACTTTGAAGAGAAACCTGAAAACTGATCTTTGGGGGGCCCTACGTCATCATTCTACAAAGAAAAAACAATCTTTGAAGAGAATCTCATAAAATCATCCGTGCCTTTTACAGGGCCACATTTTCTTCCAATCTATTTCCACTTAACCCCCTGTGTGGAACAGGTGTGATGGGATATTTCTGTGCTTTCTGAATACATATACATGACACATGTATAAAACTTTTAACACTTGTAATGTGGCAGGCACTGAGATCTAAAAATTATTGTAATATCAGCACCAAAAGCAAAGCATTGTCAGAAGAAAGAGCTGCATAGAAGAGTGTCTAGGCCAGTGTTTTCAAGATTTAATGTCAGTACAGATTGCCTAGGGATCTTGCTAATATGCAGATTCTGATTATTTAGGTCTGGGGTAAGGTCTGAGAATCTTAATTACTGAAAAGATCTCAAGTAACACCCATGCTGCTTCTCTGAGGACCACACTAAGGGTAATGAGGGTCCAGAAATCATCTGGACCAGTAGTTCTCAAGTTCATCTGCACGTTGGGATCACTTGGGAAGCTTTGAAACTACTGATGCCTGAAGCCCCACCTTCCAAGATGCTAATGTCTGGGCTATGGGTAGAGCATGGGCACTTTCAGAAATTCCTCTGGTGATTCTAATGAACAGCTGATGTTGAGAACCACTAATATGAACCAACTTCCACATTTTACAGATGCAAAAACTCAGCTCCAGCCTGTGGAGCAACTTTCCTGATGTGTCACATAGGATGAATTAATGTCCCTGTGTTTCTACCACAGAGCCCTCTCCCTCAAACTTCATGATGTTTCCTTAATCATCATTCCTACTGAAGACAAAAATGGCACCTCTTAATTCTTAATCTTCTGTGTTAATTGTAGCCCAGTACCTTGTTCTAGAAATTGATGTATTTTCGTGGTCTGTTTCTTTCCATTTCTTCTTATTCAATGAAAGGAGTCAATCAAGAATTATATGATTCTCAATGCAGACACTGGTAAATTCTGTATGGGAAGGTGTTTCTTGAGATATACATTGGTTTTCTTCATCTTGTGCCTGTCAAGAATCCAGTTCTTAGAGCTCTATGATAGAAGAAAAGTCCCAATCACTTTCAATCTTCTTTCCCTTTCTTTTCCACCCATCCCTCCTTTTCTTTCTCTCTGTTCCTTTCCTCCTTTCATGGTCACACATTTATTGGGGCCCTACAAAGTGCTGGGCCCTGTGCCAAGTAGTGGAGGCCCTTGGTGGAAATGTGTCCACCAGACAGTTCCTGTTTCTTTTTTCTCCCTGGTGAAGTAGGCTGGACGACACACGTGGTTCTTAGAATGTCTGGTCTTTCTCAACAACATAATTCTCACTTCTTGGAGAACAGGGAAAAAAGCACTAAGAGAAGATTAAAGGGGAAAAGATGACACCTTGATGCATTTTTCTCTCAAGTTTTGCTAGATCTTAGAACTCACCACTTAGTATTTGAGGGAGAGGAAGAAATTGATATTTATCGAGTGATTATTATATGTTAGATATTTTATAAAGAGTAATCATTTAATCTTGACAACACCTGTTTAAGGTGGGCATTATTGTCCCATTTTATAGATGGGAAATGTGAGGTTTACAGCAGTTAAATATCTTTCCTAAGATTACCAAGAAATGTAGTGAAAAAAAGATGGGCTTTGAAGTCAGACCTCACTGGAGATTAATTTTGCCACCATATTTCATTGTTCATAGTGGGATTTTTAACGTGGCAAATGTGGGTTAAAATGTGGGCAAATTTCACTGCAAGAAATATAAAAATACTACTTTATATGTAGGGGAGTATGTCATAGTGAGTGACAACATGGCTTTCCTCTGATTTTTAAGGGGGAGTCCATGGCTTTTTAGATGTCACTATTAAATAGAAAAATCCCCTTGACTGTTATTGAAATCCCATTGCCTAGATGTTAGCTTCCTTGACTTTAAAGCAAATTCATAAATTTCCAGTTGAAGGCATTCAAACAGCAGGGGCTTTTCTTTTTGTCTTCCTTGTGGGGAGGATTACTACTTGAGTCTATCCTGTATACTTTCTTCCTGGTCTGTGTATAAATATCTTTTGCTATTTTCTTGTTCACAATTGAATGTAAAAATAACTTGACATACTCTTGCAAGGCTTGTCTATTTATTTTTTTCCTACATAAATCCTATGTAATGATTTGTGGGAGCTAAACCCAGGCAACTCAGTTTAGATAAGCCTGAAAAGTAAAGACTCTTATTCAAAGTCACTCCAACTTGATTTGGAAATGTTTGGTTGTGAAATGTTTGGTGGACTTGAATTGGAACTACATTTGTGATCCTTTTTTTAAGAAATAAAAATAGTAAAATTTTCTAAGACAAAGATTTTCTTCCTTTTATAGAAAACATACATCTTCCTATTTTCAAAAAGTTCTCATC